GAATTAGTTTCCTGAATATTGATATGTGTGTTATAAATATATTTAATATTATTCAGTGTAAGTAAATACGACTTCAATGTAATTAAGTATTATTATTATTATTATTATTATTATTATTATTATAAATTATGTGCAGTGCAGTGGCGTTGTGTAACTGAGGGAAACGAGTGTGAAAGACATTACAGCTCGGTGATTCGCAGTGCGGTGAAGTGGAGTCTATGAAAGATTGCACGGTGATATGTTCACGTTAATTTGAAAAGTTTGTAGATTTTGTTAAGTTGTTTAGTTCTGTAATGTTAAGTTAGTGTATTCTGCCACCAAGTTCTTAAACTTAATTGCAGAATGATTAATAAATCTAATAGAATCTAATATACGGTCATTGGGAATTGCGAAAGAAAAATAAGAAAAGATGTGAAAGAAATGTTAGGTAAAAATTAGGTTAATTAATAGAGGGATATGGTGTTGAATAAGAATATTTTTAATTGAATTAAGAAAGAAAAATAATTAAAGATTCTTAGCATGGATCTGGAAAACAAAGCGGGAATCTCTAATAAAATTTGGAAAATTAGTTAAGAGGCCGTATGTTATCTTATGTTGCATATTGTATTCTGCTTTTTCCGCTGACGAACTAGTGAAGTCAGCTCTGATGGAAGGACATTTCGCTACCGTTTATCGTGCTTTGCTAGACTCAACCTATGGGATTATACTATACTCAGATTATTGATGCGTTCTAAGTCACGTACTAGGGTCTTCTTCGTAACCTGGTGATTTAAGTTAAATAAAATGTAGTTTCTTAATTATCTAATAGGACGACTATATTCAACTAGTGGTGTGACATCATATACTTTCTCACATTATTTCTAAATTTGCAATTTTCGAAAATTCAAAGAGAGGTCAACGAAAATGAGATCCGTGATATTATATTAAGCCCCCCTTTTTCTATCCATAGAAAAAATTTAAAGAAAATATTTCGAGCGGTTTTTGACAAAAAAGTGTTAAATATTTTTAATTGCCTAAATTTCGCGTCAAACTACTAACATTTTCGAATAATTGAACTTGGACTTATATAAAGATCCGTCTTTAAGGAACAGGTTTCATAAAGGAAAATATCTCAATATTCGATATTTCAGTTGTAGGAAGACGCCCCGAAAAAAATACTATTGCAGTTTTCAAAAAATCTTGAATTTCACCGAACATGAGACCTGCGCCATTTTCAAGCGTCCTTTACGCTCAGGGCAAAGTTTGATCAAAACGTTTTGTTTGATCAAAACGCGATTTTTGAAAAAAATTTGATAATGTTTTTGAGGCTTCATGTAAACTACGCTCAAAAATCAAAATATTCGTTTGAGACTCTCAAAGTCTTGAGTGTATTTAGATCGATCGAAGGTATATCAATTTTGACGAAAATCGGCTGAACGGTTTAGGAGCAAGCGTTGAACACACACGAACAGATAGACGTTTTACCGTCAATCGATTTGTCGGTATCAAGGAGCCACAAAACATGGATTCTGGCAGCTCCACGTGATAAAGGATTTTTTCTATACTTAGCAACAGGATTTATCCACTTTTTTTATTTCCATTGCCCGCTAATAAGAGTTTTTCTGCCGATAATTCGCCCTTTTCTGGCGCATGGTTGCATGACATCCTCTTCTTGGAAATACATTCGTAAGGGCGAGAAAGTAAAAACAACTTTTCAGTCAAGGAAACCAAGAAAAAATCACGAAGATCATAAGAAATAATACCAGAAAATACAAATAAATAATCATTTATCGTGCAGGTGATAATAATACTGAATTAAGTGCAATTTCATAATTTATTCACGCGATAATAATAATCAAGGGCAATTTCATAATTTATCGAACGCGATATCGCAAGTATATAATTACGAACGAGTACAAACGGGTCTTTTAGCTACGTGTTTATTCGTTTATTCTATTCCGAGTAGCCTTCAAAGCTACTTTATTTTAACCCGATTACGTTTTAAACATTTTGAAATATTTTCTATGTAGGCTTATATCATTAATGGTACTATAATATCTTCATTAGATACCTTTATTACATGGCTGATACGGACATTGAATATAGTAATGGGCATTTTATCTACTACCAAAAGCTTTATTGTATTAAATATAACAATGATTCATGTAAAATACTGCGATCACGTAGTACATAAACTGTGTGTAAAGTAGCGAGAGTAAAATAAAATAAAAGTATAATCCCCTTCACATGTCTAACAGCGACTGGACAAAGTGGCAAATCTGACTACTCGTCCGTGCGCCCTCGTGTTGAATCTGAGGCCGAGAGCTAGACCACCATCCGCAGCCACCAGCCCGCCTCGCAAGCCCTCCGCACGCCCCACCACTCGACTCGAATCGGAAGCGACAGGTTCATACAATATTAGCAAGGAACCTTCAGGCTTACAGCTTCCGCGCTGACTGCCAGTGACAGCATCCCCGCTGAGGGAACGACAGAGGTGATGCTTGCGAGAGGCGGACCCGTTCGCGGGAGTCAGTTGGAATACACTCATGCTCATTCGCGGCTCTCCAAACGGTCGAAGGGAAAGTCATGGAAAAATTCGAGAAGTGAAGCGCTTTATTGTGCGAAATATTAATTTGAAATTATTTTAAATTATCTATTTTAATATATGCGTGTATAACATTGACCTGTAATAAATTAATAAAAAATACAATTCTAATGAATTTCTTTACTGGTTTTGAAATACTTTCTCATTGCTCTTTGCAACACCAGGGTGTTTATTGATGATGTACGAAAAGAGTCTGGTGGATTAAGTTTAAATAAGCTCCCGAAAATAAAAACTTTCAAGGGAAAGTATAGAAGGGCAGCTCGCCAAAGAAAGAAATTACAAGGGAAGGTAGAGGACTATTCAAATACTTATTTGATTAGAAAAGTAAATATGCAAAGGGTTGTATGTTCTAAAAGGAGTAAATACATTTTAACTGAAAATCTCACAGTTCACAACACGGTGTTTCGGTGTTTCGCATTGATCACGAGTGATCGTGTCCTTTAATACAGAATATTCTAATTGTTATCATGTATACAGTACTAGGTTTCATCGTATATTTTAGTATTTGTCCAACATAACAAACATGATCTTTCTTAGACTGGTGGCAATTAGGACCCTGACATCGCACAGATAACACGACCCGTCATTGTGATTAAGAATCTGCATCGAAGAAATCGATGAGCCAGAATTTAAGCGTAGACTAAGGATTAACAATTGAGGTGGTGAAATTTTAATCAATCGATTTAAATGAAATTATTTTTTAACACGGCACAAACTAATTATTTTACAATGTGAATAAAAACGTTAATTTAAATGAACACCAGAAAAACGAAGTACAGTGAAACCTCTCTGAAAAAACACACTAAATAAACGACCACCCATCTTAGCGACGTACACAAAAAAGCACATATTAGTATATGCGAATTGTGCCCCATTTTAAAACCGGATGCGGCTACGAGCGTGTAGTGGACTCAACGCTTCCATACGAAGGGTCGCGGGTTCGAGTCCCGCCTTGGGCATTGTTGTATGTCCCTTGTCTCTCATGTATGTGTTGTCGTGGAGGATCTCGCGTTCTTCTGACCCCGATCATAGGAGCGCGCAAGTGTGTTGGTGTATGGTGTACGGTCGAGTATGCTCCCCATCCGTGCCGGTTTTCGGCTGAATTAAGCCCAAAGAAAAAAATACCCCTTTCAACAGACCACATCTCTCTCCGACTACCGACTAGCCCCTCAATTGCATTTTTTTATTTACCTCTTTTAAAATACCATTTTCAAGAAAATTGTTAATAATGCCGTACATCGAATTTCTTCTAATTATAATGAAAGTTGTAAAAAGCATAAGCACATGTTCTATGCCTACGTTACATTTTTACGGAAATCACTAAGCGGGGGAATTCTTGAAATCAAGTCACAATAAACGGTAGCCACTGTTATAATGTCTCGGCTGCTCTCTCCGTTTGAATTTAATTTCTTATACTAAGATGTTGAATATGAAAGTGACCTTATATTTCTTTGCATTAGCAGAACCTTCCTTATCTTACCTTCCTGAAATAACATCTGGTACAGTAGAAAATCAATGACGGAAGTCAGGGTCAATCCTGTTCTGTAACACGCGAGTGTTTGACTTGCGACCCGAATCTGGGCTCAGCTCATTGCTCGATTTTTTCAAGCAACTCAAGACTCATTGCTTGATTTTTTATTGTTTTGTTGCTTTTTGAATTGTGCGAAGAAGTGCAAAAAAATCAAGAACACTTTTAGCCAGAATGTGCCATACGTACCCAAATGACAAAAATGAGTCCACACCAGCAAATGGAGGATCAATACCGGTAGACAACTGTTGGGAATACTAAACCTATATATTATTTAAACATGTTCTTACCGTAGAGAGGAGGATTTAAATATTTTTAAATTCATTCAAAAAGATAGTCAATTGTTCTAAAAGGGCTTTTGCGTCAAAAAAGCAAACAAAACTTACTAATAATGTTTCATTTTTCATATTAATGCTCTCTATATACTAAAAACGTTTCATAAACATCCTAATGACATCCTAAAGTATATATCCTATATATACTTTTCTGATCACCCGATGTCCGGTTGTAATAGACCATTTTTTGTAATAAAAAAAGATTCCCCTATTAAACGACCACCCCTATATCAGATACTTTTTTCACGGGGTTAACAGTGGTCATTTAATTTAGGTTTCACTGAAGCATATCATTGGAACGTAATGCGGGTTGCATAATAAGTAGAATTCGATCGAGGTGCACTTGTCGACCGTTGGAGCGTGAGCGAGACGTAGCGCATGCGCAGTAGAGCTGTCTACGCATACTATCGCGTTCAAAAACCGTCGGTAGTCTAAAGTGATCTTGATATGTGGCATTGTAGTGGCCCAGAAATTTGTTTTGGCCGCGTTTATACATTGTTTTTTGCGTTTGTTACATTGGTTTTTAGTGCTCTTTCTTACACGAACTGTGAAAATGAATATGGGTACTGAGGCTGCGTGTCTAAAAGCTAGGAAGTCGATGTTTTTGAGACGGCATTAATAGTAGCCGTCTCCTTCCTCCAGGACGGCAGTAGTGTGCACACATTCTTTGCGCTAAGTCTATCTTATAATAAGACACACGAAAGGGCCACCGGCCCTCGGGCATTTTGTTACCGCTCATTTTGTTACCGATCATTAGAACAAGTTAACTCCAGTGGTACATATATAATTTTGTTTTTTACCTAATTTTATTGATTCAGATTTATTTATTTACTAATTAACTAGATGTTAATTTCGCTTTGTCTTTTCATATTTCCCTCCTATAATTTATTTTCATAATTCCTTCCATAAGAGAACATGTATCATTTAACTGTTTTCATATTTCCCTCTTAACCACGATCTTCTCGATCCAGGTAAGTTATGCAGTGTATATCGATCTCAGTATCGAAGGCAATAACAAGCTATAATGTATCAGTAAAAAATAAAAATATAAATGTTCTTATAAATTAATATACATTAATAAAATTTAAGTTTAATCTAATTTTAAGGTAAATAAAAATTAATATTTTGTATGGTTTCAGTTGAATTATTTGCATAAATACTAAGCGAATATTATATCATATTATAATTTTTTGAAAAAACATTGGAGATATGAACATCCATGTAATTGCGCAAAAATTTCACCTATCTGTATTAATGACCAAGAGTTAAAATAAAATTTATTTGAATGATATGCTGCGATAAAATTCTAAATAATAATATTCTACACTATTTAATCAGTATAATAAAATATTCAACCCAAAATAACTTAATTAATATAATATTATTTAAATAAAAATCTGTTTTAAATATTTAAAATTCATTTTCGTTTCTTTCAAAATAAAAACGAAGTCGTCAAGAAAAATGTGAGGGTATTGTAATTACGTGGAAGAATGTTCACCTGCCCTATGCAGCGTCACCTGGTCTACCATCTGACTAGAATTGCGAGTGATAAAATATTAAAAGTTTCTGTCATATAATTTGGTGTTGAACACCATTTAATGATTGAATACTCTCACCCATAAAATTAACAATGAATGTCTAAAGAAGACCACACTTTAAATACTGGCACAGAATTTGTATTTCCATGTCACAATTTGGCCATATGTGTTCTCTCTCCTCCCTCCATCTCTCCTCTCTGCTTTCTCTCTCCTCTCTTCTATCTCCTCCCTCTTCTCCTCCCCCTTCTTCTCTCCTCTCTCTTCTCTCCCGTCTCTCCTCTCTTTTCTCTCTCCTTTCTCTTTTTTCTCCTTTTTCTTTTCAAAAGCGCGCGCACGTCAGTGCTCGGGCCGCCTCATGCGGACCCTGTGGTGCCAACGCCCACCGACCACTTGCCAGCTCGCGCGGCGCGGCGTGGCCCACGGGGGGTGGGGGGAGAGAAAAGGCCCGAGCCGCCCCTCGGGAACGCCGCGCCGCGGCCGCGCTGGTCCCAGGCGACGCGCGCGCCATCTGCCACCGGCCCGTTCCACTCCGGTCCTGGTGAATCTCCGGCACGCCGGGAGAGCGCGCCAGCCTCTCCAAGGCTCTCAGGGCGTTGGGTGCTACAAAACTTCAATCGACACTATTTGTTTGAGAACTATCCTCATTAAGGACGTTGTGTGAGCCGTGCTCTTTCATGAGTATCACTAGGTTTGTTGTGGGACAGGATATTTAAAGACAATGAAAACACTCATTTGTTGTCATCAAATGCACTAAAATATCTCTATTTTAAATAAATTCGTTTTTTAATTGACTTTAAAAATCCAGGGGATACCACTGTTCTACAACATATTACCATGACAATCATTTATTGGTTTTAATTAAGAACACTAGATTCATTTGATCATATTTCAAGACATTTGTGACACAAGAGATTTAGACACTTGTGCTGGGGTCGAGCACATTTTTTTTATCAAAAATGTCTAGAAATTCGAATTAGTGTTTTAATATGGCTAAAATAATTATCTAGGGCGACCAGATTTTTTTGATCTAAAGAGTATATGAGTGCATGGTGTCAAGATTCGAAAACTCAAGTCTTTAGTAACAATATAGATGTATTTGATTTATTAGGGTTTAACACTCGATACTAAATCTCTAAAAGGCAATACAACATACATTAAATAACACATTAAAATGCAAACAAATACATTGACTTTAGAGCTTCATTTTAATATTTACACTGACTACGTACAAACGATCGTACAACATCCCCTTTACAGACACGCTACTTCAGAAGCACTAACTCAACACTAGCACAATACATTTACGCCATGGCAACAATCTTAGCTCTGCATACATATATGCATGTACTCCACCCACTCCAGGCTCCCGCACACAAATCCATTATTCAATGCCTTTCATTTACCCTCATATCTCAACAAGTTGAACATAGCACCTAGAGCCATTACCTTCCCACGCACTCACTGACTTGCATTGTCGTTTCCCGTGACACTGCGTACGCTCCCGCAGACACACGGACTCGTATGGATTCACGCCCACGAGCTCGCTTCACTTCATACGTGCTTGCAATAAACACAGTTTTACCGATAATTACCACACACAATACCAAACATAACAGTTTTAAAGTGAAATCACTCGAAAATAACCTACGATAAGTACCCAATAATACATTTTACTTCACTAAATTTTACATTATTTTTTTCTAAATTTATTTACACTTTCGCCCCCGATCAATTATTCCATTTATTGTACGATTTTCAAAGGAGATTTTGCCCCAAATCAGACAGAATTTTAATTCTGAAATTATGATAATTATAGTCACAAAATTACAAAAACGCATAAAAATGTTTGTAAGGACCATTGATATGTATTGTAATAAGCTCATGCAAAATTTCAACAATTTTTGGGGGGGCAGGGTCGTGCCCCATATGATCCTTCCCTTGTATCCGCATGTATTTCCAAGTGATGAATAACAGAGTTAAAGGCCTTGACTGGTTCATTTTGAATGCGGGAGATAACTCAAAAACTAGCCGATGAATTTTGTTGAAGGCAAAAGTATCTTTACACAACAAATTTTTATTTAACTGATAAAATATATGACAAACTTTTGACTCTTACTTTGCCTACCAAGCAAGTTGATATAAAAACGGATCTTATTGACTATCAAACCCGGTAACGGTTTCCATGGCAGGTCAAGGGTATTCAACTTATATGTTTCATTGACCATATTTATGTGCGTGATATAAGAGTTCAAGAGACAACCAGCTCTCTTAGAAACGCCGTGTTTGACGTAGGGCCGAGGATCTTATTGCGTTAAGGGTAAAGAGCTTGGTGACATTAAAACGATTATGTTCATCGAGCCATTTAACGTATCATACTGATAGACATTTTTCCAGCTTGTGGCACATTTTATGAATTAATATTTGTACTTACTTTGAATTAATATTTGTATTAATACTGGTACGTGTGTGATGATTGAGATGAAGATGGAACAGACAGAACAAGTGGTAGAAGAAACGGGAGTGTTCTATAAAAACCAACTGATTATTTTAGCCAACTGATTAATATTGCTTAATACAATTTTTCCCAGGATCAAAATATTAACAGTTACAGTCTTGAATAGCGCTGGTGAAAATGTGACTTTAAGCGCTTTCTTAATCGCAAAGCTCTGTATTAAAAGGCAAAATGGAAAGAAGAAAGTTGCAAACGCAGCACGAGCCGGT